TTAAGCAAAGTTAGAAAATCAAAAAACTTCTCAGATTTTCTCTCAGTATTTCATCGTTTATGGTGCATAAGGCACAATATCAAAGTTTGCGTCTAAAATGGACGCCATGATTCCGTCATTTTGACGGCGAAATCATTGGGTCTGGTTGACCGATATAGGTCCCCACACGATATATATGGTGACGTCGCGCAAGAATGGGCTGCGTTTTCAGATACTTACATTTTGCACGTACGCTCGCCTTCCATGCGCGTCCCTGTCCCTAGCAGCAAAGGCGCAATTTTTCCAATCAGGAAAAACCGCGCTCGCGTCAGAAATTCTGATGTGCGCCGTTTATAGACAAACGAGCTTGTGTGTTCGCGAAAACAAGGTGGGATGGCTCTAGCATGGCAAACGGCGCGATGGCGCGAAAGCGCGAAGCCAATTACGCATGGGCAATTGACGCTAAACGCATTGCTAGCTGCTGCCTAGGATAGCGAATCCCGAAAATGGACCAAAGTGTAGAACGTTGTAATGAAATGAGTTAAAGATCATTCCCGAAAAGTTTGCTTTTCTTCAGCCTGCAAACGAAAGGAAGAACAACAAGTGCAACACAATCAACCACAACCGCCTAAAAAGCCTCGTTTAGTGTTCACGGATATTCAAAGGAGGACATTGCAGGTGAGCAGCTAATTAGCATTGGAGCACGCTTTATTCCAAAAGTAGATATATCGCCCATTACAAGAATGACAGACTCGTAAAGGCTTTGCGCATTTTGTCTAAACAAGTTCAAACGTGTCCTTTTCTGATCCCAAGTGATAGGTCATCCAAAATGAATTGGATTACGTGTAAGAACTTGTCAGTGAGACGCATGAACGGCTCTCTGGCATGTATAGTTGCGTTATTCATGAGGGCTTCTGAGACTGCGCACTATGTGCAGCAATTCACGTATTTTCACTAGTAGTTTGATAGTGAAGCTCGCTCTAGACAAACATATTGCTCAAATATGTACTACGTACTCCCGCCCACCCTGAATCAAGTTCAAAAACAGGAAAACAAAGAAAGAATCTTTGGAATTGGCAACCTTTAAGCCCGCAACCATGGAGTAACGCGCGTGTTGTGCAATGCACACATTAAATTACAAATGACACGGCCGCTGTGAAATAGAGGCGCGAAATTTTCAGTTTTTTTCCAAAAGCTGTATTCGGTGGAAAGAAAAGTTGAAAGGAAACCACCACTTTGCTCTACAAATTCGGGAGCAGAAAGTCTGCAGATAAAGTTGATTTCCCATGCTTTACAAAAAAACTACCATTCGAACTTTATTACCTCTTAAACCTTATTAACAATATTATTTGAAAAAAATTAAAATATTCACAAATGTGTGTGGATGATGGAGAAAAACAAATTAGCAATGACGGCAAAGCCTAGTTTTGCCTATCTGGGCTGCAAGTCAACGCAGTGTTGCACATTTTTCATTCATGGGCCACCGGTGGATCATATTCGTTAATGGGCCAAATTGCGTTTATAAAATTTGACAGTGACACCTTTAGGTTTGGAACTACCTTCAGTATTTTTAGGATCAATGCGTAAATGTTCCCTAGTCAGTAAAACAAGAATAATATTATTCTAATGTCTCTCAGCGCATTTGCACTCGTCTACACTCCTCCAGCTCCTTCTCGTGGCTGCTTACAAATGCACGTAGTTGAATATTCATGAGCGGCGCAAGATTCGTAATTGAGCTTTCATGTATGTACTGCAGCATTTGATTTTTTTGTGTTTTCACCTTTATCAACTTGCTATACAGAAATGATATATCTCTAGTTGAATCTCTCAAATTTTAATACTCCTGTTATATGTATCTAAATAAATTCATTGTAGTTTAGCAAAAGCTCATGAGATTATTCTGCCTTCTGCTAGTCAGTTTTGTTTTTACATGAATATGAATTTGTTACCAAAGTTTACAGTTTCGATATCATCTGTCCCAATTACGGGAGATAGTTTACACCTCTTTTATATATAATGTCACTGAGGAAAGGAAAAGTTACCTTTCCAAATCATAAAGAGTCACATGGGATGGAATCTCAGTGATTGACTCAGCAGAACAAGAATTTATATTAATTATTACTGTAACAGTTTAAAAATTTCATGATATGCTGCTCTCAATGAGTCTCAATGGCTGTCCCATTATCGGAGGGGGGGGGGGGGGGGGAGGGGAGGGGGGAGGGGGGAGACAAAAAGCTTTTGAATAAGGGTGCGTGGCATTAGCCAAGCACTTCGAAGAATTATCTGGGATGCTTAAATTGTTGCGAGCCCATAACCCGTAGCCCAGAAGAAAAATTTTTACGGGTCTAAACTGAAATTGCAAAAAAAATACAGAAATTATTTTGATTGTCTTCAAGCATAAACAGGTAACAAGACTTTTAAGAATGTAAATATTTCGCGATCCCCGCCCTTACCCTCGCTCCACTACTGGCTGCTCGTTGTTGGTTTGATAAGATCCACATGTCATTACCGCTAGACTTTTGGGACCTAAACGCACTTTTCATTTTATTGATTTTTTTCCTTAGCACTATAGGATTTAGACTACTATTATGGCAAACTTTCCCATGAAATCTTTATAAACAGGAGAAGGTTTTTGAACTTTTCCAATCTGCTTTCCATGCTTCCTGTCTAAACGTTCACTAAAACGCAAGCTAATCATGCTTTCTGGAAGCGAATTTTTACGACAATCGTTCCTAAATCCCTATCGTACCCATCTGGCACGGCTTCTATCCAATCTTCTCTTTCTATCGCTCGCAGTGCTGTCACTCAAATTGCGTTTCTGCACTCTGTAGTTATCTGATCCATTGTCATGCACAGGACTTTTTTTTTGCCTTCACCATTTCTAATAGCTGGGGTTTTTTTTCCAAACTTTTACTGTTTTTAAAATTTTTAATTGCCGTTTTTAAGGATGTTTTTTAAGATGTTTCGGCTGTGAAGATTTTGTCATTCAGTTGCTAGAGCACATAAATAAATCTTCTATTCACGCAGCTCACTTCAAACAAACTTGAGAGAGAGAGGGGGGGGGGGGGGCATACGCTCGGGTTTTTTGTAGAAAACCTCATCTATTAGGCCAAAAACACTATTGGCAATAAAGAGTGATTTTTGTGCTACTTTTTGTTTCTGGTAGTTTTGAAAAATAAGAAACTCTGTCGAATCACCATACAAAAAAGCAAATAAGAAAGTGATGTCTTAATAAGTCAGGACTATTATTTTCACAATCCCTCAAGATATGATGGTACTTAAGAGTAATGCTTTGATTTGCAGTGTTCCCACCTATCGAAGGAAGAAGTGTGTGACGAAAATATTGTTTTTTATCTTCCTCCACCCCCCCCCCCCCTCTTCCACCTACCTTTCTCCCTATTGAAAAGTGCAACACCAGAAAAAATTCTTCGCTTTAGTTTTTCCTTACTCTCGGCTAATGAAGCTTCTCTGCAAGCTTCGCCTACATTATAATGTGTGGAAAAGAGAAGACTTCCATAGCTCAGAAAATGACAAGGATGGTTATCATGTATTTTTTCTTATTATGGATAGCATCTACGAAGAATCAAGAATTTGCTAGCAACAGAACCGCTAAGTGGTGTTCTTGATCATCTAACTTTTGTGTATTCTTCAGCAGGAAAGAAAGGAGGTATTCTTATTTTGATTGGTTCTCATGTATTGTATTCCACCGTCTGATTAAATTCACATGGATGCGAATAAGGGTTGTGAACTTGGGACCATAACAAGCTGTTTGAATCACGTGAAATTTGTTTTGAGATATAATTCCACAGATCATATCAAGTTATTCACAATTTAAGATACTTAAAGCAAACAAAGTGATATTTCGTGATGCGAGTTTTCTATTTTCAAAAAAATTGACATTAATTAAACAGATTGGACGTTACATTATTCTTGATTGGAGCACAAATTTTTGATATTTGATTAATAATGTAGTATTTTTCCTTATCTTTAAAGAATGCCAAAGAGTTTCTCAAGTTTAACAAAATCAGCACCTTCTAAGAAGGACCCATAAAATCTAATATACAGGGTGTCCCAAAAAAATGTATCGAACGTTTGATCGTTAATATCTCTCTTCCCAAGAAGTCCTTTGCTTTGCTTTAAGTACCGTTTTGTAGAGCTGGCTTCAACTTAGATTTGCATAATCACCCATCCCTCTTCATTACTGTAGGATTACGGTAGAAACTTGAAACATATGGTGTCAATATGGAGAAAGCTGCCGTTTCAAAATTTTTCAAAAAAATGTAAAAACTTGTGTGTTGGGGTTTTTATGGACGCTAAGTTCAATACTCAACTATTCTCAAGATTACGAAGCTTTCTAAAGGGTGTAACCGCACTTTTCAGGAGCATTGAAAAAATGGCCGCTACCTCTTACCCTGTATAATTCTTCAATAAAGCATCATAATAAGTTGGAACTTTACAGTTATAATCAGTAACTCTGATTAGCCTAGTGTAAAAGTTTTCAGGCTGTTTTGTTTCCTTTCTGGGGCAAAATATGGCCTTTCACTGCTCAAAACCCTCTTTGAAGTTTCTACCGTAATCCTACAGTAATGAAGAGGGATGAGTGATTCGTTCTATAATGCAAATCTAAGTTGAAGCCAGCTCTACAGATTGGTACCTTAGACAAGGGAAAAGACTTCTTTAGAAGAGAGATATTAACGATCAAACGTTCGATACATTTTTTTGGGACACCCTGTATAAAGAATTAAATATATGAAGAATCGTTAACCCAATTCCAAATTCTGCAATAGCGGGAAACCGTGACGGGGTCCCAAAGCGAACGCCCTTCCAAACAGCACCTTTAGATTCCTGGTTCACTAGTTCATAAAAAACCATTGTATTCCATGGTAGCTTTGATATTCACCTCATACATTCATTATTACATTCATTTATTCCTTTCATTTAAAACTTCTTTGAGTCTCATCCTTCCTTCCTTTTCACAAGAAAAAAATTGTTGTTAAATCTGTTACTTCACACATTTTCAGGCAATATTCAAAGAAACGAAGAGGCCATCGCGTGAGATGCAACTAACAATAAGTCAGCAACTCGGCCTGGATCCAACCACTGTGGCGAACTTCTTCATGAATGCCAGGAGACGAGGCCATGACCAGCGGACCGACGATGACATTAGCACCGTTAGTAGTGGAAGTAGTCACGCTCTGGACGAACAGCAAGTGAGCCGTGGCTGCACTCCTTCGATGGGTGAAGCACAAACTGAGAATTCGCAGAGCGAATTTTACCAGGTGCTTTCTCCATTGCCGCCTACACCCATATTCGAGCAGCTTTGAAGCTGCATTCAGAGTTACCCGTGCCAGCGCCGTGCTTGCGGAACGGCGATGGGGCGACATTGGCACCGCGCTGGATCGATGCTGGCACTGGCAACGCTGAACGCTGCCTAAGCGCTTGTATAGTTGTGTGGTGGCATAATGTAGCGTTTTGTTGTACTTTTCACTAATTTCTCTTATTCCTTGCCTTAACTTTTCGATTTGTATGAAAGTGGGCGCTGTATCCCCGTTATTGCGACTCATGTAGAGTTCTTGAATTTGAATTTGACTAAGCCGGAATTCTTGTGCCATAAGAAGTGATATTGAGAGCACAGCTCAATTATCGCGACCTAATTTTTATTATTATTTTATTTATTGCAGTGATTCTTTTATCATTATTCTAACCATTATTATGCTTTATTTGATCTCTCTCAGTGTTATCATGCAACCGAATCTCACACTTATACTTCTCACGTTTTTGTGAGTTCGCGTGCTTTGGCGGAATCCACAGATTCGGCCCCTCAGATGTATCACTTATTCATTTGTATTTACATTTCGTAACTGCTAGGCTTTCCGCATTTATTCTCACAATGGCCTGTGGTCTGGATTCGACTGGTCGTCATTCCAAGACTCGGCTTTCATCAGAGAGACATTCCATGACGCGTGTTCTCTAGTCCATTTTATATGTTCTAGTCTATAGCCGTGCGATCTCATCTAGCCGTTCATACGTTGCGAAAGTAGCGATTTCGATTAATCGTACTAAGATAGCTTCTTCATTCATAGCCAGTAGCCTGTTCGCAATATATGTATGTACTTAGATATCGGTTGATTTCATAAAATATTTCCCGTATATTCGGACAGGAAAATTCACTCGTAAAATTGTATTCAAAGCTTACAAGACGGAGAAAAAGTTAGGCAGGGAGATTCCCTTCTATAGCTAACGCAACATTTGAACATTATAGAATCTATTTAATATATATATATATTATATAAAGAAACGCAAGCCCAATTCAAAAATGTGCAAATAGCGGGAAACCGCGTGGCGGTCCCAACGCGCGAATGCAATCTAGCACCTTTGATTACTGGTCCACTAGTGCCAGGAAAAAAATATAATAATAGATAGATAACCTACGTAGAGTTCTTTACATGCGGCTAAACTTGATTGAAGGTTTCAAAAAACTGCAAACTCATCCCCACCAGTCTTGGATTTTTTTGCACCACATAGCAAAGAACATTCTGACAAAAGAATAGCTAAGCGTTCACACCCTATGCATTGATTCGAAGTAGATATCATACTAGGTCATTTCAAAAGTTTTTTTTCCGCTTTTTTAACGATTTTGATTCATATAATAACGACTGAAAAGGATTCGAACTTTTTCTCTCTAGTGCAAGAATCTTCGGATTGCCTACAGAATCCCAAAAATCATCCACCACCTCTATCTATATTCGCTGTTTCTTTGGATTTCTTTCTAGACTTTCAGGAAAGTCACTCGGACAGATCGTGCGATTTGAGCTATAAGCTATTGCTTTTTCACTTTTCTAATCTCCGGATTGGATTATTGCATGATTATTTTTTGGGAGACTTTGATTCATAAAAAAACATAGCATACATGAAAAAATGCAGCAAAAATTGAAAACTCCTGAAGTTTTCGCAATAGAATTGATTGTCATTGAAAAGTTTGTGCAAGACATTCAAGCTTGATTCAAGCAGAAAGATCAGATTTCTCAGATTTTTTATAATCTAAGATTCTTCAAAAATGACATAAACGGTTTAAGAAATCGGTGTAAGTGATTCAAAATAGATGTTAAGTAGCAAACGTTCCTGACTGATACCATGCTTTTAAGGCTTGAGTAAAATCTTTGGAACGCGAGAACTTGGGCGCTTTTGCAAGATAGCTCAACGAACCCTGGCGATAACAACGTAATCAAAACTGGATATCTTTACTGTTCTTACAAATTACCTTTTTTGCTTGAACAAAAGATGAAGACAGGAATGATTTATTAAATGCAGTGTAAAGCATAGGCAGCTTGTTTCTAAGCTAAGGTAACCGTCAATTGTTGCATAAATACTCGGCAATGGTCAAAACTTTCTTTTCCCGATCGGTAGTAGTCCTCACAAGGACAATTTTTTATGAGATTCCATCGTCAGCAGTCATCCTGTCTCACGACTCGACCGGATATTGCCCGGTAAGAGATGGATGTGTGGGTGGCATAAACTCCCTCACGTTTTCCTCTTCATACTCTTCACTAGGGACCAGGTAGTTGGTCAAAATGGTGATGATTTGTGTATTAAGTAGTTGAAAACGTCTTATTCGTTCCACCATTCGAGACAAACGCTGTAAAGGAGTCTTCTTATGAAAAAATAGTTGCGCAGGAAAGAATACTTACGATATTATTGATGGTCTCATCCTTTCCATCAAGTTTTTGAATTCTATGAAGATGGTAGCAAAAGTCCAAGACTTCAAATCGTCGCTGCTGTCCCAACAAACAAATGATGGACATTCCTGCCCACTGTAATGAGTCGCCAAACAGCTCCCTAAAAAATTTTCCCTTTAATACATTGAAGGATAGATCTAATCGTAAGAGAACTTTCAGGCGAATTTGTTTCAGACAAGCACGCCAGAATAGATGTTTATAAAAAGTTGAGTTGTTTGGTTAATCAGATTTTGACATTTCAAAGCTGCTAATTAGGGAAAAATCAACAATAGCAAGCATATGAGCTCGAGCGAAACGTTCACTTCAGTTTCCTCTTTCACCTGATAGAATTTACAAAGCTAAAAGATAAACTTACTCAACCAAACGCTCATCATCAGTAACCCGAGGTTGACATATGAAAAACTGTAGAGCAGACCATACACGATGAAATTCAACACATTCATCGACCCACATCACACCATTAGGTGGATAGCCTCCTGTCCAGATCTGAAAATGGTTCACTTCTCCGTGAAAAATGAAGGGGAACTACAGGCAAGATTTATACCGGATCATCTCCCATCATCTGACGAATTCTTCTGAGGAACATGTCAAAAATGTTTAGTCCACAGCAAAGTCGTTCTTTAGTCATCAGTTCTGCCTCACGAGATATGGCTATTTGCTGAAAAACTTTCGTAAAAAAACGCATAAACCATGGAGGAGTGATAGGATACCTTGTCATCACCAAATTTCTCTACAACATTTGTGAGCTGGATCCTGGAATACTTTTCTTCAAGCTTCGCCAGCTGTTTCTCTTGCTCGGCAACACCTGAAAGTAATCGCTCAGCTCTATGAAAAAAAGGAGAAAAAAAGAAGAATGGAAGAGCCTGTTGATGTAAACTTTTAAGACATGGAGAACTTTTAAGAAGTAGTAACTCACTTTTCGCTGGTGGTTTTGGTATGACATTCGTGAATGCAGCGGCAGCGAGGAGATCTTGTACTTCCTCCTGCGCCATGCCAATTTCAAGCTGTTGGCAGAACAAAATGATATTCCCCAATTCACGAAGATCCTAAAAAATTTACAAAACAATATATAAAATGTACTTGGTGTAGAGAAATCGCTGATTCATGATTTCGTGAGTTTAATCTGAGATTCGACAGTAGAGTTTTCTGGGAAGCGTACCTGACAAAATTCGCCTCTCAATTCTTGGTATTTTCCTACTCCTTCCAGATGGTGAAAGTAGTATTGAAAAACGCCTAAATATGAATTTTCGCTACAAAGTATTTATAGCGCCTCCAAAAATAGCTATAGGGCATTTGAAAAATCGTGACGATGCGACCGCGCGCAGCATACACGCGTCTTCCGGTAATCGCATTTTCTTGGTTTTGATCACCACTTAAATGGTTTTTCTGCTCATATATGATAGCATTACACATTGGAAGTGACTCCGTTGAGCTTTGAGAAGATGCCTTTTTGTATAAGCGTTTTATGCTCCTGTAGGCGCGAAGACCGCTGTCAAATCAGCCGTCACGATTTCATAAACGAACTATAGCAAGTGCGGCAACTCTATGAAGCCTTAATTCAGTATATAGCCGATATTACAACAAAAGTCTTGTGAAGACAAAATACGAGATGGCGCATACCGGGACTACCGTAATCACTCCTTGGCAGTTTGCACACCTTGGGCATGACGGAGTATATCGATCTCAAATGGCGCTTGAGTTTGTCCGAAATCAGCAAACGTGCCATCTTCAGTAGTTCTTCAAAAATAACCGCAATCCCTGAGAATGAATGGTATATCCCCCATGGACTGATAGTGGTGCATGGTGAAAGCATACCTTGATATTGTAATAAACGAGCAATTGCCTTTAAGTGAGGAATGCCAATAAAACGCGCATATGAGTAGAATATGTTAGCAAAAGCAGCATTCAGAGACTTAGAGCCCCACAAATACACAAATGACACTTGTGGCTTCCTTTCTCGAGCGGGAGTTTTGCGAAACACCTCCTAAAACGGTATCCAAATAAGCCACAGACGAGCCATACAATTCACATACCTTTGCTCGCACAAAGCGATGGGTCGATCCGTTATACACAAAGTTAGGAATGAAATCATAGTTTAACTCCCAGAACACATGCAAAGTGACACGACCATGCGGTGCTGATACATTATGGTTTGCCTAAAATTTGGAAAAAGAAATTCATACGTAAAACAACGAGTTCAATGAACGATTAAATTGCCGTCTAACAGAACTATACTCACCTCAAGTAGTAGATCATTGAAATCAGCCACAGAAAAGAGCCTTTCTCTCAAAAGCGAGTGGCAAAGACGATTCGTCTCAATAAGGAAATCGAGTTCCTAGAATCAGCATACGCAAGGGCAGCTCTATGGAAGTCACTGAAAAAAGCGACAAGTTGTAAAATGGACTGACCACGATGCTCGAGAGTTCAGCACTTTCGAACATCCAGATTGCTGTATCGAGCGCTTTCAGTAGGGCGATATTGATTCGCTGAGAGATGAGACGATTCAAATCGATCGAGCGTCCAAGTAACTAAATTCATACACTCAAGAAAAGGGTAAGAAAACAGAAAGTTGCAATAAATGAAGTTGATGTTCAAAAATGTACCTGCACATGTCTTTGTCTCAAAACACCATCAAAACGACCTGCCGGTGGAGTTCTGATGGTTACGCCAGCTCTCTGACAATCAAGTTTGAACCGCTTATCCAACATCATACTAAAATAAGACATAAGCTGGTACTGCAAGCATGACTATGCACAAGCACGTACCATGATGCCAGCTGTTTGAAATGCGTGAAAACCATGTCAGACAGCTTATAAATGAATTGATCAAAACATAGGTTCACCTCAGCTTCTACCTAAAGGCACCACAAAATCAAAGCTAAAGAATAACAATGCAATTTGCATGTACCTCATCGAAAAGAAATCGTTTTCTGAAGTTGAAAAGACTGTAGTTGGCAGCATCATTGTACAAATCCAGTTGGTAAAGAGCCCCTTCGATCAATGATGAATCAGGATTCGTCAATATATGATCAGTCAAAATCCACGGTATCGACATTTCGATTGGAAACTGAACATAACGCATCATGTTGAAGAACTATAGATTAGCGTGCATTTCTTACGGGTACACACGCATTCTACAGTGATCACAGGATTGATTTCATACCTGAATTCGCTGACCCATGGTCATTTCCAGATAAAATTCGCGGAACCAAAGTTGGCTCAACTCGGCAGCTTCTGAAAGCGAATCCGAAAGACGGAAAAGAGCTGGCCAGTGGGTTGACTTCCTAGAAGAATGAACGAGGTCAAAGAGCAGAGCAAATATGAACTAACAAATAACCTCAAAAAGATCGAGATTCTTTCGATAGTCTTTGCATCAAGCTCCTTGCGCAACACTTTCTTACCACCGCTGGCTCGTTCGGATATTAGTGACTCCAGCTGCGTTCTTGCCATATAGAGCTGAACTTACATTATTTATTTAGCTACGTAGCAAACAGTCTACACTTCAGAGATGATCAGATTCTATCAAAAAAAAAAGAGAATAAGGCGAAAAGTACGTGAAAGGGTTCAGCCTACACTATAACCTTTGCAAACCATTTCGATTTTACACACCTGTGTGCTGCTTGGAGCAGGAGGGGAGGCACGTCTAGTGATGCGTAAGTCACTGCTTGAACTTGTTGTAGAATCCTTTCCTTGTCGCTTTTTCACCTTTTCCACAGAAGGACGCGACTCCATAGAATATGTATCGATACAAGTATCTCGAACCGATTGCAAAATGCTAGAATACGGACAAAAATCTCAATACCGTCTTCGAAACAACTATTAATATAAGAGACTTTGGCTGATACTGCTGCATACCTGGCCAGAAGATCTTTTTTGCCCTTGACAGCCTTCTGTATAGGCTCATTAAACGCATGTTGTACAAATGTTTGCAGTTCAGTGTATACATGCCGCCTAAAAGGATTCATTAGCGCGATTCCAGGGAAAACAGAAACATTCTAGGGGATATAGCTGCTACCTTATCGCATTTGATAGAGACGATTCTATCCGGCCCAATAAAGACTGCAGGCCCTTTATCATCGAGATTGTTTGAATAAGAGCTGTCTTCTCAGCCGGTGAATAATTGTACCTAAATTCAATTCAAATAAGCAAAATGCGACATAGAATGAGCTATTATGATACGATATACCTAGTGGCTCGCTCATACTCTTCAGCAGTCTCAGGACAATCTTTGTTATCTCGGCTGTTGGTTGGATGGAGCAGCTTCCAGCTGATGGTTTCTACCACATCCGCAGTCCACTGACAAAGCAACTGCAAACCGCTAAGAGCCAGAGAAGTCATTTCGCGATTCTCTGCATCCGAATTTAATGAAACACGGTCGCTGATCGCAACCTACAATTAGAGGACAGATATGAAAGAGCAACTTATTATGAATGCCGATCAAGATGGAAAGTCTACCTACGTTATTATTGAGCTTTGCCAGTTGCGTGACGTAGGATTCATGATCTGCGCGCGTGATCTTCATTTTCTCAACTATGTTCACATGGCATTTATCGCCTGCAAAACAAAATCAATCAATTGTAAAACGAACTTATTCAAATCCTCACCTTCTTTGTCACTCAGCGGCCATTTATTAGCTTCGTAAAACTGACACCTTCTCACAAACGAAAACGGTTGTATTTGCATATCGCCATAAAGAGGAACAACTTCCAGAGACTAAAAGACCATATAAATGGCACATGAAAGCTCTGCATAAAAAATCATGGCATAAAACATTTAGGGAAGAGTTTATACTGGAGTACTCAGAAGGTGAATACGTACCTTGAAAATCTTATCCAGACGGCTTATGCTCAAGCGTTTTTTCTGATCCATTTTTGCCACATTCGCAGCATCTCCGTCCATAAGGAACAATGAAAATGCAATAACCTGAAGTTTTTTAGTTAGAAGTTAAGGTCTACAGAATAAACTTCCTTATGCTTACTTTGACGAACATATGACGTTCTGATGGTGAAAGATACAAATGGCTTTCGAACATATGAGCACAGATGTTGATAACGTCAGCGAGTAGCTCCTCGTATGCTTCGATCTGCGAGGAGAACATCATTTGAATTTTGAAAAAAAAAGAACACAGCAGACAACTTACCTTTATCATCCTTGCCTTTAGATCGTCCTTGATTTTGTTCTGAGTTGCTAGAAACATGCTCAAATTCTGCATATCGTGGATGGTCTGGGTGTCTGACATGACTTGCAGAAACTGAGCAGACCTGAATATGACTTAAAGGTTAGCTGCTTGAAAAACACTGCATTACAGCAAGCGATTACATCAGGTAAGTGATACCTTCGAAAAGTAGAGAAGTCGTTCTTAATAGATGCCTTCATGTTCTTCAACTCATCCAAAACCGCGAACATGTTCAAGAACCGCCCCAAAGTCAAAAGGTAAGCTTCAGAGACAAAGTCCTAAAAGTCTATGTAGACGGGTATGAGACGTAGAGGAGTACAGTATGAGGTTACCTTTCGCTTCTCAATGTGACAGAGACGACGAACTTCTTCGCAAAATCGGGAGATGGCATCATTCTTGAAATACAAATAAAGAATTAAGAAGTGTTCCACACAATAATTTTTGAATTTACATAGTTTAGACTGGAAAAAAGAATGAAGACTGGAAAGGACTAACCGTAAACATCATGAACTGCTGAAGTTTGTCAACTTCGGGCCTAAGCACTTCCACCACTTTCATGTTGATTTCAACACGATTAGGCTGATCGTTTGATTTAACCTACGAAAACATAAGTTGAGAGATATCCAAAATGGAAAACAGAGGCACATACCGTAGGGACAGCTCGAGAACAGCATCTCCAAGTATAGAGGTTTGCAGCATGTTGTAGGCCTTCGCTCAGGAGATCATTCTGTAAACATTTTGTTCTACTATTAACAGCCAGACACCCATGCAAAAAAGGGATGGGAATAAATAAACAAGACAGACAGCAGCAGATTAGAAACAAATACACCTCAAACTAAAAACACTGAGTTAAAGAAAATTTCAAAGATAGAAAGATAAAGGTTAAAGATACTTCTACGCAAAACCGAGAGATGGCATCATTCTTAAAGCAGAATTAAGAATAAAGAAGAAAATGTTAGATACAAAATATAAAATTATTGAGGCAAACAAAAGCAAATAAATGTCCTCAGATTAGCAGAAAAACTCACGAAAAGGGCATGGCGTGTTGCCTCTTCGATGTACTTAGAAACTCCCGTCACATAAGCATTCCTGTCCTCAAAGTTGGTGTCAAAATTGGTCCTGAAATACCACTGAGAAGATACAACTCAGGAAGTACACAGCAATGAAAACAAACCTGCAAAGTAACGGAAGAGGGCGAGCCTCAATCGATGGTTGATCATCGGGGAGAATTAGGTCTTCCAGCAGCTAAAAGACCCTACTATTATGAAGTGCAATTAAAGCTGAAAGTACCTACTTCTACATTCCCCAAAGCATCTTTCAATGTGACGGTTTCAGCCATCCAGGGATGGAAAGAAGAAAAGACGGAGTGGTCCGGATCGGGAAAGATTTAGCGACCCGGACGGAATGTGACGCTCCACCGCGAATTTTTGTCGCTGGCCCACATTTGCTTCATTTTTTTAAACTCCCAATTTCTTTTCCATTCCTTTATGTTCATCCTTGCTATGCTATATGGAGCATTTCCTAATTATCTGAGCTTTCACTCCGCGCAATTTTCAAAAAGTTTATGAACCAAATCCCACATAGTATTTTGGTTTAGGTCGCAAGAAGTCGTTTCTCGACTTCTCGAAAAAATATTTGAAGCGAATATTATACACACTTGAAATATGCAAGAGTCATCTCACTATTTGCAGAGATGCCTTTGTTGCTGGTGACAGGGTATCCAGCATGCGGGAAATCAACAATTGTCAAACGAATACATGATTACTTCAATGGTCAGAAAAAGGAGGTGATCATTGTATGCGATGATGATTACCCTAGCCTAGATAGAAACGACTACAACAATGCCACAAAAGTGAGTTTTTCTGACATTGTATTTTTTTACAGAACCAAATCAACAAAATCCATAAACTTTCGGCTTCGGGAAGTAACAGCTAAGGACAGCGACTTTCTGGCTTGCGCTGGAGGCAGCTTGGCACGAGCTTATATGGGCGAGTTATCGGCAGGGACAGGGTGTCACTGCGACTCTGCGACGTTTTTAAGCCTTTTTCATAGGCCAATTTATTCTCAGCATGCATGTTCTTGCATGAATTCAGAATCTATGGAGGGAAATATTGGCCACACAGGGGCGTCAGAATTTTGACTAACGTGCCTTTTAATCGTCTACCATAGGCCTCGGCCAGACTTCGTTCAAAAGCGCCCAAAAACGCTCAAAAGTGCCCAGAAGCGCCCAAGTTTCTCTGATTCTCTCATCTCTCACACGAAAAAGTGAAAAGACATTAGAGGAATTTGGGCGCTTTTAAGCGAAGTCTGGCCGGGGCTTGAGATAGGCAGTGGGTAGATCAAATATGGTTAATTGCAATCTTCTAGATAAGTGTGAATTTATAAGAAGTCCATGTGTTTTCGTTTTGAAAGCTGGGCATTTTTGAATGTAAATTGATGTTCTAATATTTGTTATGCCGCACAGGTTGGTATGGTGGAACTTTATGCACCCAACGTTTCGAACAACTCGTATTCGTCGGAGGTCTGAAAAGAATGTTAGTCTACGCATCCGCTTCATTGCGGTATAAGAAATATCAGAAGATCAACTGAATTCAAAGTAATGGCAATGGTCTCAGATAAAGTGGCACATTTTTTTTCTTGCTAAGTTCTATCCCATTACTGAAGCTCACCTTTTGCAGTGCAGTACCTATTTTCTATAGGCCGTCCGCGCAGGGCGCGGAGAGTGCGCAAGGTGTGTATTGCGCGTCACTCCTCTTTTCTGGTGCACTCTCGCCTCCTGTTTTTCTCTGCGCTTCTTCCAATCATGAACTGCCCTCAATGTACGCAATAGCGTTGCTCTCCGTGCGCAGCGCGGACATCCTATACACATCGGCACTCACGTGAAAAAGACGTATGTATCTAAAACAACTGGTCCTCGAATCTAACTCGTCGTATCGCTTCTTCATTATAGGAAAAAGAAATGCGTTCCTTCGTACGATCTTCACTCCAGAAATCTTTAAGTCAGAACACAATCGTTATATGTGACGCTTTGAACTATATAAAAGGTGCGCCACGTTTCCAAAATTTTTTCTTCACTACTCTCTAGACTTCAGGATATCGCTACGAATTATTTCTCATAGCAAAGCTCTGCAAAACCACTTATGCGGTACTTTATTGTCATGCCGCCGAAGATACTTGTAAATGGCTAAATAGCGAGAAAGAAGAACATTTGAGGTTGTATTCTTCTCTAAACTTCCTTCGGTGAACATATCATGTTTAAGGTACAAGGATGTGGTTATCAGCGAACTAATAGCACGATATGAGAAGCCTGATCCGAGAAATCGCTGGGATTCTCCCCTATTTGAGGTGAAAGTTGGGAAAAGCGAGAAGTGAGTGTTCTTGGTGATTTTATTGTGACTTTTGACCATAAACTGAAACCTATTCCCGGACTGACAATAGATTGAAGCCACTGAGTTAACAGAGCCATGTTACTTGAGTTTTAACACTATTGCTTTGGTCTTCTCTCAATTTACAACTATCATTCTTGCATTCTTGCATATCACTCTTCTCCACTTTTTTAGGAACCACTGTGAGGTAGCCTCAGAAGATATGCATCTAGATTTGGAATATTCATCTCCCAAATTTGTTGATCTACCTCTCGAAGATATCTACAAGTGGTTGTGCGAGGTACCATTCATTGTCTTACTTGTTTTTTCTGTATTCTTAACTTTTTTATATTCCTCACTATTTCTACTCAAGTCTGCTTCTTCATACGAAAAAAATTTATAGGGCACGGCGCTGGTTGAGAATAAAAGCACCCAAGTAGTACCATTAGCACCAATCAACTTTCTACAAGAGCTTGACAAGGTTACTCAAGAAGTTGTTTCTGCAATTATGGAAGGGCAACGAAATACACCTATTGGACATTACATTGTCGTGACATGCCATCAACCTAGCGAAAATAAGGTACTTTTAGAGGAGGGGACAAACTAATCGCAGTGATATCAACTTATAAAAAATTACAGGTGATGGTTAAAAAACAACGCACATTAGCGGAATTGACAAGGATAAGACGACAATTTATTAACATGTCTAAAGCAAACCCTATCGATAGTAAGTCAAAGATTGCTTCGCTGTTCATAAACTACCTCAACAGCAATACGTAATCGAATGATGTTGTTGATATGTAGGTTCCAATGAGAAAAAGTAGCCTTTATCTTTTTTAAAACGTCAAACGGGTAATGATTGTGATTCATATCTGTTTCTTCAGATCTCTTCAACAATTCTGAACAGTTTGTAGATTTATATTTGTCACAGGTATAAAACTTTCTCATCAGGAGTGCATAGTGATGACCAGCAACGTTGATAAAAATGGAAAAAAAAACCAGAGCTGAGTACAATTTTAGTATGGAAAAATATCATGGGAGAGACTAATTCGGACAGACGTAAGCCAAATCCATACCCTTTTGTTAGTACTTGAGATATCTTGTAGTTGAGATCGCTTCGATATGATGCTCAGTGCATATTATTAGCACGATCAGTTGCTGCTCTCACGGCTTCAATGACAGCGGATCGAAAACCTAAAACTTTATGTATCATGCATTGATAAATAGAACTCTGGATTGGCTGATCTGGGCAAAAGTTACAACTGGAAGTGGATCTGACGAAAGTTAATATATACACAGTAATCTATACTCATGAGTTGATTGCGAACTTAAAACTAACTACTAAAATGAATTTGACCTGATTTTTCCAGTTCTCTGAGGCCGGCTATCGTTGTTCCGCCTGGCGAACAGACTTTGTCTTTCAGAGCAGCAGGATGTTCGTTACTCTCGAGAACCATCTCAGCAGCTCCCTAAATCGCTACTTGCAGATAATGCGCTGCATTTGCGTGTCAAACACAATCAAGAATATAAGTAAATCGCAGTCGAAGTTTTGGGCCCTGGCCGGACTTCGCTTAAAAGCGCCCAAATTTCTCTGACCTCTCTTCACTTCTTCGTGTGAGGAGAGATGAGAGAAATTGAGGAGAGGCCGGAGAAATTTGGGAGCTTCTGGGCGCTTTTGAGCGAAGTTTGGCCAGGGCCATGGAGTCCGTTCAATTGCTCGACTTTTATAGTACAAATATAAAGATTCTTCGCAAAAAATGAACTGCTGGCTCAGAACGCCGCTCGCAATAATGCTTTCGTTAATTCGAGACTTGCAAGAAATTTCATAGAAAAAAGAAGGTTTTTGAATCGATGGTGGGTGACAGTGAACATCGAGAAGATCTTTCAAGCAAATTTATAACAACACTCAAGAACTATAAACTTACCATAACGGTTTGTGCAGCTAGTTTCATCGCAGTTTCTCGTGAACATCCAGCGAATACTCCACCATCAGCTAGAGATTCGATGAACATGTATACCTACAAAATATGCTGATCCTTATTATATCAAGAGCAAACTCAATTCTCTACGCTAAAATGCAACTTATTTGGAAAAGCTCTGCAATCTTGCAGGCCATGGTGAACCTGTAACTAGAAAAATGATACAAACAGTACCCATGCAGGGGCGGAAGCGGATATGGCTCCATATGCATTGAAATTCTTTGAATCAACTCGTAAACAGAGACCAACTTTGGAAGCAAAACTTTTCACCAATGTGATCTGCAATAGAAGGTCGTACAAAGTGCCTTTAGTTTTACTTTTCATAACTAACCATTTCTTCACTGACATCCGAATCAGCGCATAAAATTGACGCACCATTGCCTATCGCGACAGCAGTGTTCGGAAATAACCGTATAACTGGACCTTCGTATCCAACTGCGCCGAGCTAAAAGATATAGAATTGAACAAAGATTTGGAGAAAGAAACTGATATCTTTGCAAAATATACAGTGAACAAATCGACAAAAGAAAATATACTCTTCCAAAGGAAGAAGAAAGGAAGCGCAAAATTTTTTGTCTCCAAAACACGTAATAGTCTAAAAAAGGGAATGTTACAATATCTATATTAGAGAAGACAAGGAAAATAAAATCGTAAGGAGCGTACCTCTTTTTTCAAAAGCCTCTCATCTACACCGGCCAAGATCGAGATGACTAATGGACATCGTTTTAGTTCAACATTTTCCGATGTCAACGAGTCGATTACTTCATGACGACCCTGAGGTTTGACTGCCAAGACAATGATTCCTAAAACACTGGGTAACTTTAAGATGTTTACAAAGATGCGAAACGAAAACAAGAGTGGGGGTGCACGTGCGAGCTCGATGACAATCATGTGTCAGCATTTTTTTCCTTACAGTACACCAGCAGTGAACTCGCTGTCTCTCTCATACCAAGCAGATAATTACCCTTGAAGATTACAGTGACTATAAATTATGAGATTAGAATGCTCACCATGCGGAAATGTTCTAATCATTTCAGCAGTGGAAGTGTAAACATCTTCAAATCCTTGATTCTGGAAAAAGAACTAATTTCATTTACTAATTAGCTGGATAGCATTATGAACCACTAAGACTACTGAATCGATTATTCCACGTTTTCTTGTGTCGATCGAGAATTCAAAAGTCACTTGATTATAATAGATAAATAGATGTTTAAAAGAGTAGTAAGTGACAATGCAAAAGAAATAACAATGAAGTCGGCACCTTCCATTTGTCCAGCGTAGCGTTTGAGCGGCAGCTAATAGCGATCTCGTTCCGAGCTGCAAAACCTAAATTGTCATCAAATAGTGAGCCAGTCAGTTCATGAACAGCCAGGCAATGGTAGATTACCTGAAGTAATGCTTCCGTTCACCAGCGCTTCAGCCATGTTTCCCCCACCGATAAAAAGCAGTCTTGGGTCTTTGATGCCCGCAGCGGCACAAAAGCGAGGAAGTTCCGACATTTCAGACTGTACGGGAGCTTCTAGGAATATTCAATTACGCTACTAAATCGCTTTTGAATGTAAACTTGGCGCCGTTCCAAAGATTCCAAAATAGCGGATTAGCCGTTGCGCGCGACAGAACAGATTTGGCAGTCGTTGCAACTTTCAACTACAGTAGAGGACCGCCATTTACAGGGTATTCGCGTCAGGACCTTTAGTGTCTCGGTCCTTCGAAAATGAAGTTTTGCATGGCGCCATCCGCCATCAGCTATTCCTACCGGGCTGAAGGAGTTTCCGCCGCAGTAGTTTAATAAGAGTAGCGCAGGGGGAGGCATATCCTCTCTGTGTGACATCAGCCCAAATCACTCGGCCCAGACATGCTCGCAAAAAGTTGTGGAATCAGGAAGTAAAGTTGTAGCGGCAGATCGAAGCCGCCACTGAATCTTGATGCATGTATTTGCTTTGATGTTTGACTAGTGGTCAAAAATCTGCATGTTCATGGTCAATACTATAGATACTAGCAGGTCAAAGCTGGTGAGTTGTTTTGTTTAGCATTGTGTTTGACTTCATAAAATCTGAAGTGAGTTGCAGACAATAACTGGTGCATCCCTCAAAATTGTCCCGTGGGTATATATACCATCGTGGCTGCCTTTCAATCGTTTTAACATGATGACTCCAGCAAATTTGAGCGCCTATTCGAACTTTACATTTTAGAACGAAAGAAGGGCAGTTACGTTGATAGTATCCAGGGGAACAATTCTGGGGATGTACGATACAATGGGCATCTCTTGCTGATTTCTGTCACGCATATGTTCACCAAAGTTCGGATACTTAGATAGCTATGCAAGAATTTGTCAAAACTCATCGAATCTTGTCACATGCAATAGATGTAAGCTCCTTCATTAAGAAGTTTGCTGGTTTCCGGTAACATCAGCAAGGGGAATGAGAGTTTTGACGATAAAATTATCTATCGCGATGTGAACGACCTTCTCTTTATGTCTAACGAGAACTACAATGTATAAGTGAGAACACTATGCTACATCAATAGGGATTTATGGCCTATGCTGTAAAAGAGTTCTGCAGAATACCAGTCCAGAATCAGTAGCAAACTTGTTTCGGTGTAATATTTCCGAGCATTTGATAGTAGCGTAGAGCCAAGCGGGCTAATAATCGATTACTCAGCGATCCATGATGTTAAACCTATCGCTACATCCTCAACAATGACTCAAGCCACTACTAGTTTGGTTGACAAGCCATTAAAATTGTGTTTGCTGAGAAAGGATGGCTATCGTTGGGTTGTTACATAAGCTCTTATAAAATAGTCTCTCGAGTTCTAATTAGTTCTGTAATCATCCCACCTGATTAGGTACAAGTACAATTTTGAACCATCTTGCATGCGATTGACGCTCGTCACAGAGGTGACCTCGTGCTTTAGGAAGTCTGATCAGTGATAGCATGTCCAAAACCTCTTTGCTCCTACCTAGGTAAAAAAGCAATGGCTCGGAAAACGAGTAATCTTCTCAATCTCTGGAATATCGTCCAACTTTACATTTCATCGCTTTAGGTTAGTGTCTTAGTGTGCGTATACCAGACCCAACTTTCACTATCCTTGTACTTGCTCCTTTTGTGATCCATAAAGCACAAAAGCCCTTATCAGCAAGTTTGATCCGTTGCAATACGACTGGAGACAAAGTCTCCGAACTGGCTGACACGCAAAACTCCCGCCACGAATACCCTGTACATGGCGCCAGAATACTGTAGTTGAAAATTGCAACGACTGCCAAATCTGTTCTGTTTGCGCGCGATAAGAACAAGCTCAAGCTTAGATACTCATAATACTCCAAATATGGGCAAGAAAGGGCGAGATATGAAGTATGCTGCTGATATGCAGGAAAACATCTCCTCTGCAGCTTTATGGAAAATGAAACGGAAATTTGTTTTCAAATTCATTGGTCAACTCACGGGAGGATGACGAGTAGTACTACAAGTACTCCTGTCCTTATCAATCGATCTCATTGACCTGTCATATGATCATTGCTCATCGCAATGGCGAAGAATTAATTTGTTGCAAATGTTTCATTTCATTTCAATTATAGGCCGTCCGCGCAGGGCGCGGAGAGTGCGCAAGGTGTGTATTGCGCGTCACTCCTCTTTCCCCGTGCACTCTCGCCGCCTGTTTTTCTCTGCGCTCAACTATCTTCACTGGACGCAACAGCGTTGCTCTCCGCGCGCAGCGCGGACGGCCTATACATAGGATGCTCTATGCATTAATCATCAACATACAAGTATTACAAAACAGAAAACTTGTTAGTAAACACAATACAAAAAACAATGTAAATGACAGATGTTCAATGTGAAAACAAATAGTCCTTTAAAAGCATCTTAAACTTCGAAAGCTTCACATGAAGCATTTTTCTTCTCATCAATCCAGATCACTATTAATTCTGTTCCCAGGAATCTCCTCCTCACATTTCTCATTGCTCTAGGTATGACTATCTTTCATGAACCTCCCTTACTTTTAAAGCTCCTAGTTTCAAAAAAGGAGAACGGGTCGAGATGACAATCTTTGAAAATAATCTTGTGGGCTTTGATAAGATCAAATATCCTCCTTCTCATGGCTAAACTGTATAACCCGGGTCCCTTGTTTCTGAGCGTCCCTTTGGGAAATTGTTCATACCGCTCAGATAGTTGGAGCGTGCGGCGCACGCGCGTTTATGGTCAATGCGGCAAAGCGCGTGCCTTATTTGTGGGCGTGTCCGGCACTACGCCAAACGCGTGCCATCCTAAACATTTGGTGCGTGCGGCGCGCGTATTAATGGCCAACACCGCGACCCGCGCGCTACGTTCATGTTCGATCTCGCCACCCGCGCGCCTAATTTTGTAGCACGCCGCACGCGTGCCTTTATACATACACTACCCGTGCGGCCCGCGCGCCTGCAATTATCACATGCTGTAAGCACTAGGGATACCCGCGCGGTGTACGACGCAGTGGTCAGCTACCTCATCATTCAGGATTAGATATTACGTCGTAGTTCATGAATAGTCCCAGAAGTGGAAGTTGTTTTTTGCTTCCAAGCGTTAGCCCTCGGTAGCTCTGCAAATGGATGCTGGATCTGAATTCTCGGATTCAAATACGAATTCATATTTTTGGCGTATGAAGAGTGGAATTCATTATCAAGACCTGTGGTATACAGCGCAATGAAAAACTGAAGCCATCCGCGGGCCAGCACCAGCGGCGCGGCATCCAATGTCCCGCCACCCGCGCACTGGGTGTTGCGCCACCGTGTGACTGTGCGCGCGCTGCCCGCTCCAACTGTCTGAGGCTCCCGCCAGAGTGCCGAAGTTATGCCAGCGTTACGCCAGCATTTCGATCGATACACGTGTATTTCGTTGGGGACGTCAGCTAGCCCCGCCCCAACGAAATACACGTGTATCGATCGAAATGCTGGCGTAGCGCTGGCATAACTTCGGCACTCTGGCGGGAGCCTGAGCGGAAACCTTTAGTCTGTATAAGCAATTTCCTTGTAAAATTATTCTGTACCTTCCCAGGCACTCGAACTGAACTGGCTTTTGTAGGGTTGAAGACTACAGCACCATATTCCAGCAACAGCCTGCTCAGACAGTTGGAGCGTGCAGTGCACGCGCGTTTATGGTCTATGCGGCAAAGCGCGTGCCTTATTTGTGGGCGTGTCCGGCAGTACGCCAAACGCGTGCCATCCTAGACATTTGGTGCTTGCGGCGCGCGTATTAATGGCCAACTCCGCGACCCGCGCGCAACGTTTGTGTTCAATCTCGCCACCCCGCGCCTAATTTTTTAGCACGCCGCCTGCGTGCCTTTATACTCTACCCGTGCGGCCCGCGCGCCTGCAATTATCGCATGCTGTAAGCGCAAGGGATTCCCGCGTAGTTTACGACGCAGTGGTCAGGCTGCCTCATCATGCGAAAGATCAGGTATCACATCTTGTGTCTGAGTAGTCGCTGGAACAGAAGATGTTTTTTTCTTCCAAGCGTTAACCCTCGATAGCATTGCGAATGGGTTCAATCTAAATCTTTGGATTCAAATGCGAATTCATATTTTTGGCGTATAAAGTGTGGAGTTGATTATCAAGACCTGTGGTATACAGCGCAAAAAACTGGAAAATGGCAGCCATCCGCTGAGCAGCAGCAGCGGCGCGGCATCCAGTGTCCCGCTAGCCGCGGAGTGGGTGTTGCGCCTCCGTGTGACTGCACGCGCGCTGCACGCTCCAAGTGTCTGAGTGATATAAGTTTCATAAGCCCTAGTGAGAAGGCATGTGTCACTGGTTGATAATGCTCTGAATCAGTTTCAAGAGCCGCATTACCTCTGGCAGCAACTGCTTCAAGATGCTTATCAAAACTAAAGTTGCTATTGACCTAGTCTCTTAAAGGCAGCGTACGGGCAAAACTGACCTACCTCAGATTTTGGCGCAGGTGGATAGGGGGCCCTCCATGTGATCCAAAACAGCCACTCCGCGCCGAAAATGCGAATTCTGCAAGCCAGGGGGGCAGGCCAAGCGCCGCTCCCCTTCCTCCTTTCGCTCCCCTAACACCTTGTTCGGACGAGTCTCGTTGTCCGCTAGAAAGCGCGCGTCACTTGTCGTTTCTAGGGCAGAACTGTTCTGGCGTCATTTCCGTTCTCATTCCCCGTGCTTTGAATTTGCATGTGTTGCGGCCTTTTTTGTATGTAATCCTTTTCTTTTCAGATGGTGGGGTTGGCAAGAGCAAGGTTGTGATCTGTCGGACAGTGGTTCAACTAGGACTGAATCCGAATTTGAGGATGGCGATGAACGCCGAAGAAATGTATTTATTGTTGAACATGAACAAAAGCGAGCTCTCTTCAAGATTAGTTCAGGGACTAATGCACCTCAAAGGTAAGATTTGTTCAAATGAGACAGAAAGAAAGTGTTTTATATCGTTTTTTATAGATATCTCCAGTGTTAGGTTGATACGTGCTGTGATATGAAATGTGCATGATGTATGCATCTTCCATTTCTTAATATTTGTAAATATATAAACCTGATTCTTCAATGAGGAGCATTGTTTGTGTTAGCACTTGTCAGATCACCTGCTGCTCATTAGTCCGAAAGTTCTTACATAGCATTCCGCACTCTTTTCAAAGCGCCGACTTCATCAGTTTCGTTCCTCTTCCCTCTCATCCTCTTTCTCACAAAAATTTACTGTTCCATTTCAGCTTACGAAGATATGACTCTACTCAACATACACGTTTGACCACTGCACTGAAGCCTGATTCGGAATCATACAAAAAGATGCGACAAGTAGTGTAAGTAAATTTTTATCATACCCCCTTGTCATGTTTTTTGTTCCCATCGTCTTGTAATGGACGTCGTAGAATTGATAAATCAGTTTATTGTTCATATAGAAATTGTTGGATGTTTGATTTTTATACAAGCCACATACAAATTGCACAAGCACATTACAATCATTGTTTTGACTCCCGTTAGCCTTATCTTGCTATTTCACCGACTTTGTTCTCCTATTTTTTTGGAATAGGCATTAGTTCAAAATTTTGTATTCAATACCTGTCTTTATCACGTGGCCGACTGTCACTCATGGAATCAGGTAAAGTGCCTGCACGAAATCGCCCGGATCGCTGTAGGCTGAACGCACGCGAGCGTGCCTGCAACGGCTGCCGAGTACGAGCGCTATGATGATACATGCGCGCAAATGCCAATGTTAGCCCGCAAGAGACACGCACGCAGGTGCTCATTCCGGACGATTCCGTGCGGTCAACTATAAAACAGCAGCACAGGGAAGGACATAATTTAGGATGCAGATACGGGGCCGCTCACTAGCTGTGCTCACGAAGCACTGGAGGAAGACGGTAGAGACAAACCGGTGATACCAATTGGAAGCCCGGCGCATAACCAATTAAAATCTATAATTCTGCAACGGGAATTCCAGGATGACTTGTCCCACACAAGTCCCTATGGAGGGACCAGTTGGTGTGAGTCCAAAAACTCACTGGACAGGTTGTACTGTCCTAAAGAACTAAACTTGTAAGTTTCTGCCTTAGCATGTTCAGGCACCCTAACAAATAAGATCATTTCCTTTTGAACTTTCAGGCCAATAGGTACGTATCCAACTTATGTGCAGATGTCAACGCTGCACATGAACGAATTGCGTATGGCCGAAATACGCGGAGAAAGGGGTGTAGCGCGGACTTGCACTGTAACCCGGAAATTCAGTGATAAACCGTCGACCATGACTATAAAGACACCAGTACCCCATAGGTGGAGAAACGAAATCCTCACCGAGTTCAGATGTCAAAGAGCTGGGCCATCCGGCCTTGACACGAGCTTACAGCCAGCCCAGCCAACATCGGAAGAAGCCATGGAGACTTGACAGCAACTCCACCAGAAAAATATGTGCCTCATCCGATCTACAACTTTTACTTTCTCCCAGTTCTCCAGTCAAAAAACGTGCGGTGCCCAAAAGTACAAGTGGGATATCACACTGATTCATATCGGCAAAACAAGGCGCATTATTAGCATTACAAAAGCAGGTATTACGTAAAGAACCGCATGTTTTCAATATGCTGGGGAAAACAGATGGAGCTTGAATACGATGCGCACAATGGAAAAACACTTAGAGATGCCGCCGCAATCTCCTTTCACAAAAAAGCAAAGAATAGGAATTGAAAAACAAACGAGAAGAAATGGAAATAAGTTGATAAAGCAGATGTGAAGCGCACACTCACCGTCCTGGCAACAACACTAACCATTCCATAGTCGATTGGCTTCTTTCCGGTGCTCTGGTAGGGTACACTGGCATATTGATGCAGGTTTTGATCACGATTTGGTCTCCAGTAGTTGGTTTCCCTATAAGTATATAAGTGTAGATAGTGCAAGTATATATATACATATATAAGTAAGTATATACATGTTCTTTGTTAGATCTATGTCAATGTAAATGATGTTTGTATGATGTACTTTCTACTTCTCAAATGTAAAAGCAATCTAAAAAAAATTTCACTCACCACTCGTCTATAAACAACTTTGATGGAGCAACGAATACATAGAAAATTCAAATTCTGCTGTGACGGTGATTCAGCTGCAGCATTTGAATCATGTAGGAATTGAGAGCACACGAGCGCATCGTTTCGGCACTGATCAAATAACCTGAGAAAATGATGATGCATGGCGCGAAAAAGGTAAGTGAAGAAAAACACACGGCCGAAAAAACACACCTCGACTTAGTCATTTCTTCTCTGACAACTTCATTGCGCTGACAGCAGGGTAAACAACCGATCCAGCCTGAAAAACGACTATCTAGAAAAAGGAGAGAAAAATCGTAACACAATAACGTGACATAGAATCGCGCAACATCCAAAAGCGGAACAAACACGAAGACGATGAATATTGCAAAGGAAACAACATTAGGAGATCTAAAAGATAACAGTACTATTCTCGAAACTATCAGGTCGTGTATTTCGAAATGAGAAATGCAAATAAGGCACTTGCATCAATAACGCGCGCACAACGACATTCCAGATGACAAGACGACACTCTGCGTCTCTGCCACTCTGCCACTCAGGCACTCGTCCAGCCTAAAAGGTTGGAAGGTTCAAAAAAGGCAGTTTTTGAAGGATTCATAAGTTTTTAAGTTGCTTTTCGGTTTCTACAGCACGGTTTAGCCCAGAAAACGTCAAAACCTTGGCAGCGAGATTTTGGCCGGACGCTGCCTTTAATTTACTGACATAGTCAAGGCCCTCTCCTTCATTTTGATATCGATAATCTGAGTTGGTAGTACCAATGCCCCCACAATGGTCGGCCGCCTCATCGTGCATGTGGGTGACACTGGGTGGCAAACTGCGATGCACAGCCGAGTGTATACTCTGGCAGGTCCTCCCAAGCTGTGAAGGAGTTCGAGTTTCCTTTTTCGGCCGGATGCCTAGCTAAGAGCGGCCAGGCCAGACCCAGCCGTCTGGTCTTCACGACGCTAGGAGGTTCTCCCCGCTCCACGCCCGGGCTCAGCGATCGCCCCGTGGAAATCAAGAGTTTTACCAGTCAGGAGAATAGAAAGAAACCCTGCCCATCGAATCCCACCTACGGCGCCGGGTAGTAGCAAGACTGATATCAAGGTCCTCAGGGCGCCTTTTGGATTGGACAGAAATGACACGCTTCCCCGTCGACAAGTCACGGAGGCTGCCTCATGCTCTGCACCTACAACGCCAGGACAGTCTCCACAAACGCCGACCTCCACGCTTTTCTCGACGCTGCAGAGCACATCAAGTACCACATCATCGCTCTGCAGGAAACGAAGTCCAGGAAGAAGGACGTGCGACAGATGAATGATGGGAGGCTCATCATTCGTGGTGAGAAGGTCCCATCACGAAACGTGGGAGGTTGGCTTTATCGTCCACTCATCTATCGTCCATCTTGTCGATTCGCACGAGATCCTATCACTCGACTAGCCATCCTACGACTACGCCCTCCACGTCAGAAGACCATCAGCATCATCAACTGCTACTCTCCAACATCAGCAGCTGACGACTCAAAACCAAATGCTTTCTACGAAGACGTGGAGGAGGTCGTCCGCAACGAAAAGTCCTTCTACAAGTATGTTGTGGGCGACTTCAATGCGAAAATTGGAATGCCACTAGAAAAGGAATTTAGGATCGGGAAGTTTGGATATGTGCTCCGGAACGAAAACGGCAACCGTCTCGTGGGCTTCTCTCCGCCGCACGACTTTTCCATGGAAATTCCATCTTCATGAAGAAAGAACATCGCCGGTGGACATGGGAATCGCCCAACAGAACGACTCACACGGAGATCGATCACATTATCACTAACCGAAGGTGGAGCTTGCTCGATGTCTCAGTAGTTCCATCCTTCTGCAGTGGCTCCGATCACCGCCTCCTTCGAGCGAAAATACGACTCAGCCGAAGGCGGCAAAAGACAGTCTGTCACAGTGCCGCGAGAAGGAAGGAAGTCGTTTATGACGTAACAGGCTGGAAGAGCTCATATCAAGTTGTGACTGGCCCATCGAGGAGGATCCAACGTACGACTACGACCAGCTTCTGAAAGAATTGCGATTGCAGAGAGTGCGCTTCAGTGATTTTTGAGAAGAACTTGGAACGTATTTCGAAGACCACCAAGGAATTGCTCGAAAGAAGAAGATTTCTGAGGCGGGATCCGAATGCAATCCATCTCGAGCGACTGATAGCCAACCAGTTGCAGAACAGCTTTCCAGGAGGATCTCAGGAAGTACAGGCAAGCCAAAATACTGGAAGCAGCCGAAGGAAGACGGAGTCTCAAGAAATGCCGAAGGGACCTCTGTGAATATCACGTACCGAATTGAAGGCTGCACTATTGAACGAAGAAGGGACTCCGACTTCTTCCCGATACAAGAATGAATCTATCGCGAAGAAGTTCTACACCAACCTCTTCCGCTCATCAACACCCGTGGCGATGCCCGTTGTTCCCCTTGGAGAAGTACCACCACGAATTTTATCTACTGAAGTGCGCACGGCGGTTCAGACCATGAAGACATCCACGGCTCCAGGATCAGACCATCTTTCCGTCGAATTTCTGCAAGCCGGAGGACAACGTCTACACGAGGTTCTCGCGTCGCATCTGACATCATACCTTCAGAAGGAGAGGATTCCCGACTAGTGGAGAACGTCAAGAACCGTCCTTCTTTTCAAGAAGGGCGAACGGGAGGATCTTCGAAATTACCGTCCAATATGCCTGCTGAGTGTGCTGTACAAGCTTTTCACGAAAATTAGCCTCGCACGCATATCTAGGACACTGGATGAAGCCCAACCCCGAGAACAAGCTGGATTTCGCAAAGGATTCAGCTGCGTGGACCACATTCAGACGGTTTCGAGAGTCATAGAAGTCTGCCGGGAGTACCTGCCTCTCGTCCTAATCTTCGTCGACTACGAGAAAGCCTTTGACAGCGTCGAAACCAATGCCATCCTGTCTGCGCTAGTCGATCAAGGAGCGGACCCAGCTTACGTGAGGATACTATCGACTGCTACAAGGACTGTGCGACAAGGTTGCAGCTATTCCATCGCCCCCTGACCATTCCACTTGGGAAGGGGGTTCGACAAGGCGACACTATTTTGCCGAAGCTTCACCGCGGCCTTGCAGTGGGTGATGAAATCACTGGACTGGGACGAGAGAAGCGTACGAGTTGTTGGGGATTCCTGTCCAGCCTTTGTTTTGCGGACGACATCGTTCTCTTCTCGAGCAGTATCACTGAAGCAGAGACGATGCTGAAGTAACTGAACGAAGTAGGGAAGAAGATCAGACTGCGAATAAATCGAAAGAAGACTCAGTTCATGAAGAACGCCCTTTGCGAAGATGCAGAAATGTAACTGGAAAGCACCCCTATTATGGAGACGTTTTTTTACGTGTATCTCGGACGTTCAATGAACATGGGAAACGACTTGAGGGCAGAACTTAACAGGAGAAGAAGAGCAGCCTGGGCCGCCCTCGGGGCTCTGAAGGAAGCCACGGACCAACTGACGGATGCGGAGCTTTGTGCCCACCTGTTCGACTTAAAGGTTCTCCCAGCGCTCTGCTACGCAGCTGAGACGTGAGCCGACGCCGTAGCCACGTCGAAAGCTTTAAGGACCACCCACAGAACGCTCGAGCGCAGTCTTCTGAAGATGACCCGACACAAGCAACATCTAGTCGGACTTCGCAGCACGGACATGAGAAGAATGTCCCGTCTTCGTGACCCAGCGGAATACGTTGCGAAAGCGAAACACCGATGGGCCGGTCACATAAGATGGACATTAAGAACATCTGAGTGGATTCCTCGCGAAGCCAAACGTCCCCGAGGAAGACCACCGACGAGATGGGCGGATGTGTTCGTGGAACGAATGGACCAGCTGAGAAATCAGATGGATACGATTTTCGTCCCTGGAAGTCGTGAACGCAGTCACCGACGACAACCAAGAAGACGTGATTGTGATTGTCCTAAGCGAGAGACAGGGATTAATGGAAACTTCTGTACTGGGGCCCGCACATGAGGACGGGCCATCTAAGTATCTAAGTAAGTAAGCCTTGTAAAAAAATTTTTCTCGAGGGCGTGGCTGACGTCACGCCCCCTTTCTCTGAAATATCGCGGTTGTGGGCCCGCGAAAACTTAGAAATCAAAAGGAAAATCAATTCAGAGTGCGTATCTGATGCCACGCACCTAAGCCTAGACTTCCAAACTGCCTTCATATTAGCACTAATATCCTTAGAATCCCGTAAAAGATCTGAGAGCTTCAAAAATAAGATTGTGTGAATTTTTATAACGAAGAATGGAGATTCAAGTGTTGCAAGTTGTCTTTATTCTTAGAGTAGTCCATATCCGTAAAGATGACGCCAATAGATAGTCCTTTGTTTACTACTTATGTGTGCCAATTATTAGACCTTGCTAAAGTTTAACAGTGTTGTTTAGAAAAATGAAAGGTGTCACAAAACTTATGTTGCGACCTAATACAATAAACTGCTACAATAATGTGTCCAGACGCATTTTTGTAGCAGATGCTCGCGCAAAATAAGCCTGTTAGTAGTGTTGCAAGTTCTATTCTACAGGAGTCCGCTTAACGCAAAGTACTAGGTGCACCGGTTTGATCTGTGCCAGTTTGACAGAGAGAGAGAGGAGCTTGACACATTTCAGCAGCAACTTTTATACCGTGAATAACTACATGATAACAGCCGAATTTCGAGTCACATTCGTCATGCTACTTTATTAGTATTTTGCATTACGTCGACGAAGACTTCACATAGCCAAAATGCTGGCGGATGCACCACGACTTGATGTTTTGCTTAGAAACGATGGCGGCGGCCATGATGCTTTGGCCCACGATGGATTGGTCCCGGGCGATGACCTGGTCTCGGGCGATGGTGTGGTCCTGGTCTTCCTGGACGGTGGTGCATTCCGTGTCTCAAGCCTTGCACTTTAAAGAAATACATCACTAGCAAGCAGGAGCAAACTGAATTCGGATCCTACCAGACGTGCTGCAGATAAACATGAAGGCAAGTAGGGTTAAGAAGAGAAACTTGAGGGACGCCATCTACGCGGGATCGGAAACACTTCAAACTTTTTTACACTCCTGTTTGCAGGGAGGACTTATATACTTTGCTTAATATCGCTTACAAAGACCTTAAATTCGCCAAATATTGTTCAAACTTCTATCAAAAAAGTAAAGTGCGTCTTGTTTGAGTAAAATTTCCAACTGAAAAACCTTTTCGCAGCGTGTTGTTTGACCACATACTCAGATGATGAGCCATAATGACGACATAACAAAGTAAATGACCAGAAATTGGCGACAACACTCAAGCAATTTCGCACATTGTTTTCTGTTGTCAAATCATTACCGAATGAAGAAGAAAGTGAAAAATTAAGGATTTTTTGGTTTTGGTAATATACATGTAAGCTGCAGCTTATGATTAGTACCAATCTTTAGGTGTGATCCAATTTCATTGAGTTTGAGGAAACAACTGCAAATTTTTTTTGAGTTGAGAAGCTAATCTCTTGTTGGTGTAGTCGTTTTACGGAAATGTAGAACAATCGACCGTAATTCCCACTTAAACGAGTTACAACTTTCCAATCGGGCCTTCTAATTGTAAGTAGAGCCCATATCTCATGTCAGTGCGATCTCAATGAAAATTTACCAATGTCTTGCTGCATTGCCCATATTGAGATTAAAGAGGAACTAAATCTAAGCGGTGAGTGTCAGAGCTTCTATGCTTGATTTTGAAAAATCTTTCAACATTCGCACGATACACTAGCGATTTGCACCGTGCTTATGTTAAGCATTACCTTTTGTTTGCTCTGAGCCATCCATTATGAAATTTGTGCCTTTTTTAAAGATTTGAATTACAGTTCGATTCATCTGCAGGCTTTTGAAGCAAGCCGTCCAAACTGCAATAGATGCTTGCAGCACCTACCTAACCTCATATGCAGTAAAACTATAAGTATGACTGTATTAAGCTTTGTAGAACTGACCAGATGTATGGATGCAGTAATTATTGAGAAAGTTTGAAGGCATATTAATTAGACTACTTCTATCTTATCTATAAAGTAGATGATGCCCAATCATTGCTGTGGTTGAAGCCAAAAATTGCTTTTTCAAAGTTGTTGACAATGGTACCATTGCAGCTTGGCATATCTATGTTGATTGATCTTGAGTACAATTAACGTTGACAGCAACGTACATAAAGCAACGTTGTTTTATAATAAAACCGAGCATCTTTCTATGTAGCTTAATTTGCACTTTCTAAGTGGAATAGGTTCGCTGGCTCTTGTTTGCAGTAGGTTAGGGGATTTTCGTTTGCTACAAATAAATTTACTTTAATAGAACGAGAGCGTCGACTCGCACAGTGTGAATGTTGAGTTTGTATAGAGTCTTCCTGCCTACCGAAAACTTTGTTGAAAGTTTCATTAACTCTTGCTGAAAAACGAGATTAAATGCAATGCAGACACCGCCGCAAGAGTTCATTTTTTTCTTGAGCGTCGTCCCTTGTTTCGTCATCTTGTTGGTATGACAGTATGTGATCACACATCTTCGTTTGTTCCCGCACTTTTTCTTACGATACGTCATCAAACCTAGGACTTGTTTTTCTTTTTCTATGAATTGATATCGGTTAAATTTCGAGTATTTTTAAGTAAGGTAAGATGTAGTATATAAGTCTAATAGAGAGTAAGTTTGGTTCGCTAGAGGTAGAAGTGCTTCTGATCCCGCGTAAATGGCATCTTTCAAGTTCCTCTTGATAACCCTGCTTGCCTTGATGTTTATCTGCAGCACATCTGGTAGGTTCCGAATTTAGTTTGCTCCTACTTGCTAACGACGTATTTCTTTAACAGTGCAAGGCATGAGACACGGAATGCACCACCGTCCAGGAAGACCAGGACCACACCATCGCCCGAGACCAGGTCATCGCCCGGGACCAATCCATCGTGGGCCAAAGCATCATGGCCGCCGCCATCGTTTCTAAGCAAAACATCTAGTCGTGGTACGTCTGCTAGCAATTGGTATATGAAGTTTTGCAGTGATACAATATGCAATGTTAGTAGACTACTATGACAAATGCTTAAATAAGCAATCTCAAATATGTGTCCGGATTTTGTGTCTTTGAGCAACTTTTTTGACTGTGAATATCACATCCCATTTACTATATTGGATTGCTGCGAATAAACCGTGCTTGAAAGCATGCTATTCTAAAACACCATCGTAGCACACAGTATCATATAGTCAAGAGCGAACAAACAGTGCTTTCGCTAATTATGAGCCGGTAGTCAACACAGCGATTCAAAAAGTTTTGGACCTCTGCGCATGAAACGTTTCGACGCGTGCGTATATAGTACATATAAGGTTGGAAAAGAGAAGTCGAAATGAAATGTGACAGAGGTATTATTGGACAGAGCAAATCATGACTGCAAAGTTTGAAGCAGAAATCCATGATAAACCTCTGCCGCCAAAAGATATTCACTCCAAACAAATCCTGAAAGTTCTTACTTGCTCCGCAAGCATTAGGCTGAGAACCTTACACTAGGATAATTGGAAACGCTGAACACAAATATGAAATTCACACTTTGTCGTAATGCTTCTTTTAACACATACTAGCTCGCTCAGTTTTCGTTTTTATTGAACTCCAACAGTTTTACAATCTAACGCTCAGTCGTAGTCTATAACAAGGTCAGTTAGTTGTCGCCCTAAATTTTAAGGAAGTTTTCGAATAAAACTTTCTTTTCGGCCGAAAATACCACAAAAACGCAATTTTTTCGTTTTCTGAGCTTTTTTCAAATGATCACTACTATACTTGCTTCACCAACACTCACTCCTATAAGTTATGCCGTAATATCCGGGCTTCGCCCCATGTGACTTCTGTCCTTTCTCCAGCTTAAAATGTGTTCTATCATGACGCTCAAAGTGAAGGTTACCAGAGTACATGGCTCGATGTATCGAAGGTATGAGTGATATGCCAGAAGTCTGATACGGCACTTGAGTTTGATCAGAATCGATTTGGCAGAAGTCGAAAATCGCAAATATTTTTGTGCTAAACAAGTTCAGTTGGTGGCAAAGGCTTAGGATAAAACATCAATTGATAAGTCGCTCAGTTTGGAAGATGATGCAATCATTTCGAAAAACCGCTTGAAGATGTCAGCATTTGAGGGAGGCCTGTGCCAACCAAAACATTCTTTTCAATTGATTCTATCCCGTCAGAGCGGAATTACAGTATTATTCTGTACAAAACAATACCGATTGTTCAAGAAAATACTTCCGATCGTTTCTACTCAGTTATTATGATGGGCTAATCACAGAATCAGTGTTAATTTCAGTAGGTAGGTGACTGTCCATCAGTTAATTTCCGGATTAACTTCATAGGTTTTCTGACTATATACTATCATCTTTAGGTAATCATTGCGCAGAGTTGACTAGATGTAAAATAAAGTAGAAGTAGTTTACTTTCTTTGTTCAAGACTAGTGTCTTGAAAGGATTATCCAAGAGATTCTGAGTACTTGAACACTTAACCATAGCCCAGACCTACTCCTACTGCTGTTCTCCAGTACGGGGTTATTTATTATCTGTGTTACATATGAGATGGAAAATAACTTGATTTGTGCCGCATTGTACAGTGTTAAAAATGGGGTTGACTACTCTCATCTGTAAGTTCTTCAAAACAAAAGGATGGTTAGGGCCAATAGGAACAGTGAACGTGCAAATTTCGGTACGCGCATGAGGGGGAACCAATCAGGTTCCTAGAGCTAGTCAGGAGATTACAGTCTCTGTTACAGTGCAAGTTGAATTTCTCAACTGCAGATGAATCAAATGAGCTGTTGTTTTTGCTATCAAATAGTTAAGGCTTCCCACACACATTTTTCACAAAAGAAACCCAGGTGGCTTGGTTTGCCTGAAAACTGACTACAAAAACTACTGTATCGTGCAAAAAAAGTTTCTTTACTTTATTTAGAGAAACTAAAATAGTAAGACTATTTAGATGTTTGAAAGAAAAATGCACTGATTGTCCTCTTTTTGGTGGTTCATCAGAAATGCTCAAAATTTCCAAGATTTTGTAGGTTGCTAACTTTTTGCAAATTCTGCGGAATTTTTAGAAGTTATCATCGTATCAAAAAATCTGCTGTTGTTATTCTTTCATTTTTGATAAATTGAATGTTTCCAAAACCCAACTTTTCTTGCTCGTGACTGTGAATTTGTATTCGTCTCTGTTACAGTCTGTGTTGTCATCGTGGAAAAGCGCCTACAGCGAAGGATGATGCGTGTGGTGTGTGTGCGTTTCAAACAGGATGCCACAATGATCTATGGCTTGAAGCTCTCTTGGGTTTTGACGTGTGGGGCCAGCATGAGCTATAGAGAGCGCTCGCAAGAGATAAGGTACAAATGACTGCTATTTCGGCTTCTCTGCCATATATGACGATTTTGAAATCAACAGATGGAGGTGTGCCCGGGCCGGCAAAGTCCCATCGTCACCTCCCCGCGGTGCCGGCTGGCAAAGGGGATCAACCCCGGCAAACGACGAGGGCACTGTCCCGTCAGGCGGAGCGACGCGCCGGGGACTGTACGAATCAGTCGTGTCACATGCATCGGACTATTAAGGATTTTCGTCAAGCTGCTAGGGCGTCTCCCGGAGGCGACGCGCGTCAATGCCCGCATGGCGCAAATAGTGAGCTAGGGCTACCTGCCCCCGGACGAGGCAGGCCAAAGAAGCGAATCCAGGAAATCCGACTAGCGACGATTAATATGGGAACGCTGACGAGCCGCAGCCGGAAGCTATATGATAGGCTGAAGGAGCGACACATCGACATCGCATGTGTACAGGAAACGAAATGGAAAGGGAGGCAGGCTAAGGACATCGGCGACGGATATCGCTTATACTACACGGGAGATAGCAGCCGCCAGAACGGAGTCGCAATCATCGTCAGCGGTAGATACCGCGAATTAGTGACCGAAGTGACGCGCATTTCAGATAGATTGATGGCGATGAAGATCGAAGCAGATGATGCCACGCTTCGAATAGTCTCGTGTTATGCCCCGCAATCCGCATGTACCGAAGCCGAAAAGGACGTGTTTTGGAGGGACTTCGACATCCTGATAAGGAGCAGACTACATCTTCGTAGGAGGCGATCTTAATGGGCACGTTGGCCACGAACACGATGGATTCAAGAGATACCATGGTGGAAACGGATACGGTCAGAGGAATGAAGATGGAGAACGCATCCTGGAAGCCGCAGAAGCACACAACTTGGCCATAGCGAATACATTTTTCAAGAAGCGGGAGTCACATTTGATCACGTACGCCAGTGGAGACCGCTCAACTCAGATCGACTACTGGATGCTGCGCCGATGCCATTTGCCGATGGTGATGAACGCGAAGGTTATACCCACGGCGACACCTGCATTTGCGTCACAACACCGATTGCTCGTATTGGATCTTCGACTGAACATCCACTTACATTCACGAGCCAGAAGGACGACCACAAAGAGGATCAAATGGTGGAAGCTTCCCGAACATCGCCAGCAAGTCAGAGATGCTTTCAACGATTTAAGGGTGTTGACGGATGATAAGGAGTCGATTAAAGAGCAGTGAAATCGGATTACTTCGCAGATACGATCGAGAGCCGAGACAATCTTGGGAACCAACAAGCCAGGACGCCGGTTTGTAGACAAGCAGACCTGGTGATGGTCTGAGTCAGTCCAGCAAGTGATCAAGGAGAAGAAAGAAGCCTTCAAAGCCTGGCAGCGCTCACACTCAACTGAGGACCTCCGTCGATATCGAGAACAGAACTCGAAGGCGAAGCACGCGGTAGCCGAAGCAAAGGAAGCACACTACAAGAGACTTTCGACGAGCCGGAAGGACCTGCTGGAGCTAACAAGGTCTACCGACTGGCCGCTGCACGACATCGAGCGAAGCAGGACATCGACCACGTCATGCACATGAAGGACGCAGAGGGCAACCTCCCGACGAAGCCGAGGGCAATACTCAAGCGGTGGAGTGAATACTACAAAGGGCTATTTAATGAGGAGTTCCCGCACGTTAGTACCGCAAGGAGCCCCCACATTTGGACCGGTATCCCAGATCGAGGAGACAGAAGTTGTGCAGGCACTGAGGAAGATGTCTGGCGGAAAAGCTCCGGGACCCGACGACATACCTGCTGAAGTGTGGAAGATGATGGGGCAGCGTGGAGCGGCATATCCCACATCGCTCTTTAACCGCATTATCGTCGACGGACAGTTGCCGCGAATGCGGACTACGAGTGTTACAGTCCCTATCTGGAAGGAAAACGGCGACGTCAGCGACTGTTCAACATATCAACCAATACGCTTGCTATGCCACACGATGAAGATCTTTGAACGAGTCATCGACGCACGCATTCGAAGTATAGTGGAGGTCACCCCGAATCAGTGCGGCTTTGTAAAAGAATCTGGCACCATCAACGCCATCCACGCAGTACGATTGCTAATGAAAAGGCATTTGGAGAAACGGATTCCGATTCATTTCGCATTCCTGGATTTAGAAAAGGCATTTGATCGGATACCACACGACGTCAATGCCATTCCCAATCCAAGTCGGAGTACACCAAAGATCGGACTGTGCATCGACACCGTGACCAAGGACATTCAGCTGCCGCATCCGTGGACGCTCCTTTACGCAGACGACGTCGAGCCAGCAAGCGAATCAAGACAATTGAAGAGGCGACTGTTAGATGGAAGACACGATTAGCGGAATATGGCCTACGACTGAATGTAGCGAAGACCGAGTACCTGGAATGCGGAGAGCAGACCGACGGCACAATTAGCATCGATGGGCAGCCGCTGAAGAATCACGATATTTCAAATGGGGCTCCCGAGTGACGTCGGATTGCGACACGATCACTGATGCTCGTGCTAGGACGAACGCGGCGTGGCTAAAATGGTGGCAAGTAACAGGAGTACTCTGCGACCGACGGATTCCGTTGTATCTCAAGTCGAAAGTGTATCGGACTGTGGTGAGGCCAGTCGCACTGTATGGAGCCGAATGTTGGCCAGCAACCAGAAAACACGAGCAGATCCTGAGCACGATGGAGACGCGAATGATAAGATGAGTACTTGGCCTAACGAGAAGAAACTGCGTCACG